GGTTTTTTGTTTTGTTTTGTTTTTGAGACAGAGTCTTGCTCTGTAGCTCAGGCTGGAGTGCAGTGATGCAATCTCGGCTCACTGCAACCTCCACCTCTTGGGTCTTGGTTCCAGCAATTCTACTGCCTTAGCCTCCAGAGTAGCTAGGATTACAGGCACCTGCCACCACGCCCAGTTAATTTTTGTATTTTTAGTAGAGATGGGGTTTCACCATGTTGGCCAGGCTGGTCTTGAACTCCTGACCTCGTGATCCACCCACCTTGGCCTCCCAAAGTGCTGGGATTACAGGCATGAACCACCTCACCCGGCCTCAAAAATAATATATTTTTAATGGAGTTTTGCTATATTGCCTAGGTTGGTCTTGAATTTCTGGCCTTGAACTCCTGAGCTCAAGCCATCCTCCCAACTCAGCCTCCAAAGTGCATGGGACTACAGGTGTGCACTACCATGCCCAGCTAATTTTTTAAAATTATTTTATTTTTAATGTTATTAATATTATTATTTTGAGATGGAGTCTTGCTCTGTCACCCAGGCTGGAGTGCAGTGGCACAATCTCAGCTCACTGCAACCTCCACCTCCCGGGTTCTTGCAATTCTCCTGCCTCAGCCTCCCAAGTAGCTGGGACTACAGGCGCACGCCACCATGCCCGGCTAATTTTTCATATTTTAGTAGATAAAGGGTTTCACCGTGTTGCCCAGGCTGGTCTTGAACTCCTGAGCTCAGGCAATCTGCCCGCCTCGGACTCCCAAAGTGCTGGGATTACAGGCATGAGCCACCGCACCCAGCCTATTATTATTTTTTGGGAAGGAGTCTCCCCCTGTCATCCAGGCTGGAGTGCAGTGGCATAATCTTGGCTCACTGCAACCTCCACCTCCCTGGTTTAAACGATTCTGCTGCCTTAGCCTCCCGAGTAGCTGAGATTACAGGTGCGTGCTACCACGGTCAGCTAATTTTTGTATTTTTAGTAGAGACAGGGTTTCACCATGTTGGTTGGTGACTCTGGTCTTGAACTCCTGACCACCCACCTTGGCCTCCCAAACTGCTGGGATTAAAGGCATGAGCTACCATGCCTGGCCTTTTTAAAAATTTTATTTTATTTTATTTTTCTTGTTGCCTCTTGCCACACTTGTAAATTTTTTGTTTTGCTATTGTTTTTCATTCCTAATTCTCTCAGCATCCAAATCATTTTTCATTTTTGTTTTTCTTTTTTGAGACTAAGTCTCACTCTGTTGCTCAGGCTGGAGAGCAGTCACACAATCTCACTCACTGCAACCTTGGTCTCCTGGGCTCAGATAATTCTTGCACTTCAGCCTTTTTAAAATAGTGCCACACACTTTTAAAAATATTTTATAATGCTGACGTTTTGAAGGGTCCAGACTGGTGGCTTTACAGATCACCTTTCAATGTGTATCATCTGACCCTTTCCTCACAGTTAGAGTCCAAGCTGGCTGCTTCAGGCAGGAGAACCAGGCAGATGTGACAGCAGCACCCAGAGCGGGTGAGGCCCCACCCATGGGTGGTTACTTGTTCCTCAGTAGTCTTCCTTGCTGGTCCTAGTGAATGTTGATGGTTCTAGTAGGCAGTATTCTCCATGAGAATACTTGATGGTTCTAGTAGGCAGTATTCTCCACCCACCCCTGCCTTTTAAAGATAGAGGCATTCTGATCATCCTCTCCAAGACCTTTATGGTGTTTCCAGAAGTTAATATCATATTAAAATAGAGCATTCAGGACAGGGTGCAGTGGCTCCTGCCTGTAATCCCAGCACTTTGGGAGGCCAAGGCGGGTGGGTGGCCTGAGGTCAGTTGGTCGAGACCAGCCTGACCAGGAGAAACCCTGTCTCTACTAAAAATACAAAATTATCCGGCAGTGACGACCTACCCACTAGAACATGCCTCTCACAAAGGATCTCATTCATCCCTCTCCAGAGGAGGAGAAGGGGAAACACAAGAAGAAATTGCCTGGTGCAGAGCCCCAGTTCCTACTTGATGGATGTGAAATGCCCAGGATGCTGTAACATCACCATGGTCTTAGCCAGGCACAAACGATAGTTCTGTATGTTGGCTGCTCCACTGTCCTCTGCCAGCCTACAGGAGGAAAAGCAAGGCTTACAGAAGAATGTTCTTTCAGGAGGAAGCAGCACTAAAAGCACTCTGAATCAAGATGAGTGGGAAACCATCTCAACAAACACATTTTGGATTTTAAAAAAAATACAAAATTAGCCAGGCATGATGGTGCACACCTGCAATCCCAGCTACTCTGGAGGCTGAGGCAGGAGAATCACTGGAACCCGGGAGGTGGAGGTTGTATGCAGTGAGCCAAGATCACGCCATTGCACTCCAGCCTGGGCAACAAGAGTGAAACTCTGCCTCAAGAAAATAAAATAAAATAAAATGAGGTTGTGTGCTGTGGGTCACGTCTGTAATCCCAGCACTTTGGGAGACTGAGGCGGGATTGCTTGAGTCTAGGATTTTGAGATCAGCCTGGTCAAAGTTGTAAAACCCTGGCTCTTAAAAATACAAAAAAATAGGCCAGGCACAGTCTCACGCCTGTAATCTCAGCACTTTGGGAGGCTGAGGAGGGCAGATCACCTGAGGTCAGGAGTTTGAGACCATCCTGGCCAACATGGTAAAACCTCATGTCTACTAAAAATACAAAAATTAGCTGGGCATGGTGGCGAATGCTTCTAATCCCAGCTAGTCTGGAGGCTGAGGCAGAAGAATCACTGGAACCTGGGAGGCGGAAGTTGCAGTGAGCCGAGATTGCACCACTGCACTCCAGCCTGGCGATAGAGCCAGACTCTGTCTCGAAAAAAAAAAAAAAAAAGGCCGGGCTCAGTGGCTCACGCCTGTAATTCCAGCACTTGGGGAGGCTGAGGCAGGTGGATCATGAAGTCATAAGTTCAAGACCAGCCTGGCCAAGATAGGGTTTCACCATCTTTACTAAAAATACAAAAATTAGCTGGGCATGGTGGCAGGTGCCTGTAATCCCAGCTACTCGGGAGGCTGAGGCAGGAGAATTGCTTGAACCCAGGTGGCAGAGGTTGTAGTGAGCTGAGATCAGGCCACTGCACTCCAGCCTAGGCAATAGAGTGAGACTCTGTCTCAAAAAAAAGAGTGTGGCTATGCACAGTGACTCACGCCTATAATCCCAGCACTTTGGGAGGTTGAGGTGGATGGATTAGCTGAGGTCAGGAGTTCTAGACCAGCCTGTCAAACATGGCAAAACCAACGATCTGTACTAAGAATACAAAAATTAGCTGGGCGTGGTGGCAGGCACCTGTAATCCCAGCTATTCCTCTAGGAGTTTGAGACCAGCTTGGGCAACATGGCGAAACTCTGTCTCTACAAAAAATACAAAGAATTAGTCAGACATGGTGGCACACGCCTATTGTCCTAGCTACTTGGGAGGCTGAGGTGGTTGGATTGCTTCAACCTGGGAGGCAGAGAATGCAGGGTACTGAGATCTCATCATTGCATTCTAGCCTGAGCAGCAGAGCAAGACCCTGTCTCACATAAAATAAAATATAAAAAATTTTTAAAAAGTGACCAGGTGTGGTGGCTCACATCTGTAATCCCAGCACTTTGGGAGGCCACGGTGAGTGGATCACTTGAGGTCAGGAGTTTGAGATCAGCCTGGACAACATGGCAACCCGTCTTTACTAAAAATACAAAAGTTGGGACAGGCGCAGTGGCTCACGCCTATAATCCCAGAACTTTGGGAGGCCGAGGCGGGTGGATCATGAGGTCAAGAGATCGAGACCATCCTGGTCAACAAGGTAAAACCCCGTCTCTACTATAAAAAATACAAAAATTAGCTGGGCATGTTGGTGCATGCCTATAGTCCCAGCTACTTGGGAGGCTGAGGCAGGAGAATTGCTTGAACCCAGAAGGTGGAGGTTGCGGTGAGCCGAGATTGTGCCATTGCATTCCAGTCTGGGTAACAACAGTGAAACTCCATCTCAAAAAAAAAAAAAAAAAAAATACAAAAGTTAGCCAGGCATGGTGGCAAGTGACTGTAGTCCTAGCTACTGGGGAGGCTGAGGCAGGAGAATCGCTTAAACCTGCTAGAGAGAGGTTGCAATGGGCCAAGGTTGTGCCACTACACTCCAGCCTGGGCGACAGAGCAAGACTCCATCTCAAAAAAATAGTGGAGGTCTAGTGTGGTGGTTGTCTCATGCCTGTAATCCCAGACATGTGCCAGGTTGAGGTGGCGGGATTGCTTGAGGCCAGGAGATAGAGACAAGCCTGGGTTAACACAGAGAGACCCTATCTCTACAAAACATACAAACATTAGCCAGGAGTGGTGACTTGAAACTATAGTCTCACCTACTGAGGAGGCTGAGGTGGGAGGATGGATTGAGGGCAGGAGTTCAAGGTTGCAGTGAGTGGTGACTATACCACTGTACTCCAGCCTGGGTGACATGAGTGAGACTCTCTCTCAAAAAAATAAAAGCGGAGACTATTTGAGAACACAGCCCCCTGAGAGGCATGACAGCCACACGCAAGGCATAATCCCTAATGAGAGCTTCATGAAAAAAATTTTAAAAGCTGTAACATGAATTTTGAGGACAGGTAGGAAAAACAGAACATAAACCATGTATTGTGTTATGATCATTCTTAAATTTCTGGAATGTGCCAGTGTGCTGAGGTTCTCTGGAGGAATAGCCCTGTTCTTTTTTTTGAGAAGGAGTCTCTCACCCAGGCTGGAGTGCAGTGGCAAGATCTCAGCTCATTGCAGCCTCCGCCTCCTGGGTTCAAGAGATTCTTCCTGCCTCAGCCTCCTAAATAGCTTGGATTACAGGCTCCCACCATCATGCCCAGCTAACATTTGTATTATTATTATTATTTTATTTATTTATTTTTTTTGAGACGGAGTTTCACTCTTGTTACCCAGGCTGGAGTGCAATGGCGCGATCTCGGCTCACCGCAACCTCCACCTCCTGGGTTCAGGCAATTCTCCTACTTCAGCCTCCCGAGTAGCTGGGATTACAGGCACGCACCACCATGCCCAGCTAATTTTTTGTATTTTTAGTAGAGACGGGGTTTCACACATTTGTAATTTTTGTAGAGATGGAGGCTCACCATGTTGGCCAGGCTGGTCTTGAACTGCTGACCTCAGGTGATCCGCCTCCCTTGGCCTCCCAAAGTCCTGGGATCAGAGGCGTGAGCCATCGTGCCCAGCCAGCCTTGTTCTTAGGAAGACCAGGTCTATGGAATCTAGGGTTGCATTGTCATATTTGCAGAATTAATTAATTAATGAGGTGTCTGGGGGGAGAGAGAGTTCACACATGACAAAACCTCAATGAGTTTTGAATCTAGGTGAAGGGTATATGAATGTTTGTTGTGCTATTTTGCAGCCCTTCTGTGGATTTGTTTTTTCTAACTAAAAAGTTCAGGAAATACCTACAAGGATATACTGGACCATGTTCAAAGTGGTTAAATCCAGGTAATGGAATTACAGGCAATTTTTCTTTCTCTTTTCCTGTATTGATTGGGCCAGAGCATGTACAAAATTTAGTAAGAAATCTTTTTTTCCTTTTCAAAAACATTTCATATTTTAGCTTAAAAATGGAAGAGTTGGGAGTGACTGCAGGTGGTAAAATAAATAAATAAATAAAAAGGCCCAGGCAAGAGGATCACTTGAGCCTGGGAGGTCAAGGTTGCAGTGAGCCACGATCTCATCACTGCACTCTAGCCTGGGTGACAGAGCTAGACCCTGTCTCAAAAGAAAAAGGTCCAGTGGCTCATGCCTATAATCCCAGCTCTTTGGGAGGCTGAGGCAGGAGGATCACTAGGTCAAGAGATCGAGACCAGCCTGGCCAACATGGTGAACCCCCGTCTGTACTAAAAATACAAAAATTATCTGGGTGTGGGCAGGCACTGTAATCCCAGTTACTCAGGAGGCTGAGGCAGGAGAATCTCTTGAATCTGGAAGGCAGAGTGAGCAGAGATCGCACCACTGCACTCCAGCCTGGGCAAAAGAGTGAGACTGTCTCAAAAAAAAAGGAGAGTTCAATGTTTTTCTAGGTGTTCAATGTGAAGGACAAGTGAAGAGCTACGAATCGATCCCTGCAGACAAGAACTAACAGTCAAATGTCTCTGCTCCAAGCAGGCTAGGGACAAGATGGAATGAGGGTGGGGAGGGGGGCCCTTGAGGAGTAGAAGCCAGGGTCTCCTTACTCTGCTCCCAGTACTGCCACAGCAGAGCCCTGCGAGGCCTGGGCAATGGTAGCAGGGTCCTGAAGCCCGCGCAGGCTCTGAACTATCTTGCTGTCCGGAAGGGGTGGGGTAAATGTTGGGGAAAATGCCCAGAAGCCTGGGATCCCTAGCTGCCGCCTTCCTGCCTCCTTTGCCCCTCCCCCGTGCGGCTGGCCCTGGAGGCTGTAGGAGCTGGGGTTACCCCATGGGGACCCTCATGTTCTCTTCTCCCCTCCATCTCCCTCCCCTCCCCACAAGCGTGCAACCAGCTGACCAGACTGACAGCAGGTGCGTGGAAGGTGGGAGGCGGGAGGTGGGAGGCGGGGAGGCGGGGAGGCGGAGGTGGGGTGACGCCAGCAGCCTATGGGTTAATGATCCTGGCAGGGGCTCCACAGGGGATCAGGGTCAAATGTCTAAGATGGGGACAGGCACATGGGCTACTATTCTGGGGCTCTGATCACGGCTGTCTATTTATAGGGCTGGGGGGGGCCGCCTCACATAGGCAGCAGAGAGGCTGCCCTACTGCAATGTCACCGTCCTCACCGCCTCTGCAGGCTGCGAACACCTACCACTACTGCAAGGGACTGAGGGGCCTTGACCTAGCAAGAACGCCAGGGCCTTGGGGCACTGTGTGAACTGGTAACGTGGCTGCCCACATGGGCAGCAGCATGGAGCCCCCTGAGGGTGCGTACCTGTACCTGGGCGCTGTGATGTCCCCCGTGGGTACAGCCCGCGTGCTGCAGCTGGCCTTTGGCTGCACCACTTTCAGCCTGGTGGCCCACCGGGGCGGCTTCACGGGTGTCCAGGGTACCTTCTGCATGGCTGCCTGGGGCTTCTGCTTTACTGTCTCTGCACTGGTGGTGGCCTGCGAGTTCACAAGGCTCCATGGCTGCCTCCGGCTTTCCTGGGGCAACTTCACGGCTGCCTTCGCCATGCTGGCCACCCTGCTGTGCGCCACAGCTGCGGTCCTGTATCCGCTGTACTTCGCCCAGTGGGAGTGCCCACCCAAGCCTGCCGGATGTGCTGCCAGGGACTTCCGCCTGGCAGCCAGCGTCTTTGCTGGACTCCTCTTCCTGGCCTACGCTGTGGAGGTGGCCCTGACACGGGCTCGGCCTGGCCAGGTGACCAGCTACATGGCGACCATGTCGGGGCTGCTTAAGATCGTCCAGGCCTTTGTGGCCTGCATCATCTTCGGGGCACTGGTCCACGACAGCCGCTACGGGCGCTACGTGGCCACCCAGTGGTGCGTGGCCGTCTACAGCCTTTGCTTTCTGGCCACGGTGGCCGTGGTGGTCCTGAGTGTGATGGGCCACACAGGGGGCCTGGGCTGCCCCTTTGACCGGTTGGTTGTGGTGTACACCTTCCTGGCTGTGCTCCTGTACCTCAGCGCTTCCGTGATCTGGCCAGTCTTCTGTTTCGATCCCAAGTACGGCGAGCCTGGACGGCCCCCCGACTGCGCTCAAGGCAGCTGTCCCTGGGATAGCCAGCTGGTGGTGGCCATTTTCACTTACATCAACCTGCTCCTGTACATCATCGACCTTGCCTACTCCCAGAGGATTCGCTTTGTGCCCAGCCTGTAGCCCACAGCAGCAGCTGCCCACCTCCATTCTCTGGCCAGCATCTCCAGGCCCCTTGAGGGGGACTCAGGTGAAGGTGTCAAGTAGTGAGCAGAAGGGAAGCCAAGAGCTCAGGGTAGATGAAGTGCATTGGGAGAGGTCACTCCCCAACTTCCAGGGTGGGCTCACAGAAGGGCAGAGGGACAGGGGCTGGGTAGTAGGGCAGAGGCCCAGAGCAGAGGCAGGGAGAGCCTCCCCTTGGCCAATCCCCAGCTCGCTCTCTCACCACTTCCCAGTGCTCCTGGAGCTCAGTGCTGGTCACTGCAACATAGGGAAAACCTTAAAGCAGCTGCTGTTGTGACCCATTCTGCTGCTGGGGACACAAGGCTGGAAGGATTTGCGAGGCACCCAGTACCTCCAGTAGTGTCTGGAGACCACACTCAGGCTGGCTAAGGCAAGCCGAAAAAGGAATGATTTCCAGAGGAGACAAACCCAGGAGAGCACCTGGGCCAGGCAAAGGGAGGAGGGGCATAGGGAGCCAGAACCACCTCCTGGCTCGGAGGGGCAGCTCCCAGAACCCTGGGACCAAGAGGTCTGCTTGGGGGGCTGTGCCAGCTCACAGACAAGGAGCCAGAAATCTGGACCAGCCTCTCCCACTCAACTTTGGGAAGCCTCTGGGCTAGTGGCCACAGCCTTCGGGACCAGAGCTAAGACTGTGCTATGGTGAAACCAGGCTGCCTCTGGTGTCCTCAGGCTGGAGGTGGCGCAGGTGGCCTGGAAGAGCCTGTAGAGGTCGGTGGCACCAAGTGCACCGTGTGCAGGGAGGAGACGGTTCTGCCTCAGCCATGGAGCCCCACCCAGACACCCACCATCGGCTGTGGTGAAGCAGCTTCAGCTGTGACCCAGTGGGCACCCATGGCACTGGAGGGAGCCCGGTTGAGGGCGGCCACTGGACAGTCTGGGCACTGCTCGCCTCTGCTCAAGGGTCCAGTTGCCAGACACTCCTGACACCGGGGCTGCCACCCTCTATGCTCCAGCCAGTTTCTCCTGCACAGAAGCCCAGCCCAGCCTGAACCAGCCTGGAGCCGACCCACTGGCCATCCCTGAGCCCAAGCCAGATGGGCGGTGGCACCACAGCCCCTCAGCCCATTAACTAGGCCCAGACGTCTTTGAGCGGGAAATAAATGCTGATGTTTAGACACACCCTGCCTCTGGCCCAGCAGTCTCTTCTGAGGGAGCCGTGGGCACCAGCCACTCCCAGCGACCCATCTCAGCACGCTCTGGGGGAAGGCTGAAGAAAGTGGCCCTGGGTGTATCCCAAGATTGTGGTGCAGGGAAGGCTGGGCTCCTTAGGGTCTGAGCAGCCTCCTGGGGATGGGGCAGGCAGTAACCTCTGCCTCAGAGGGGTGACAGGCCAGTCTAGCTCAGATGGGCCTGTGGCTCATGCCCATCTCTCCCAGAGGTCCTCAGCGCTCACCTCCTTCCCCTAACACCCATCTAGGCATCTCTGGAGGCCCTGGACATGAAGGTAGACAGACACATTGCTGCTCCTTTTGGACTGCAGTCCCCATAGTCACACCTGTGCTGCTGCCAGGATGTGAGGAAGGGCCTCTGTGGGTCACTGGGGAGGGGCTCGCTTGTGTTAGCAACAAACAGGGTCTGACCAAGCAGGTGGGTGTTTTGGGCTCAGTGGCTGATCCTAGACAAGGGCAGTCAGCTGTGGAGTCTGTCGCTGGCTGAGGGCGGTGGTGAGGGGGCACAGGGACCACCTGCCTCCTGACTCTAGGGGAGACCTGGACACCAGTCTTGGAGGGGCCCTGGCCTCCTTCTCTCCTTTCTTTGCTGGCCAGAATTCTGAAATGAGTTGTCAGCAACTTCCCAGTTTCCTCCCTGTCCAGTGGCCTTCTGCCCCCAATACTCCACCAACCTATTACTAAATCTCAAAGGTCCTGAGGAAGAGAAAGGAAGGGGAGGGGATCAGGGCTGGGCAGCTTGCTTCAGAGTCAGTCCTGTTGACAGTGTATCCTTAGCCCAGAGGGCTGTCCATGTTGAGTTTTGGGTTTTTAGGGAAAAGCATTACTTGCTTTTATCACTTAATGATAACATGATTTTGAAACTGGATCTGAAAGCGCTGTGGCAACACTAGGCTTCATGCCCCAGGTTTGAGCTGTCCATCTGGACAAGCTCCTCCCATGGCCACCACACAGAGGCCTCCCAGTGTTGGTGGTGGTCATTACGTGTCCACACAGGGGGACCAGGTGGACAGATGATAGCTAGAACACGTGGCCCTGACGCTGCTGCAGGAGCATACCAGGTCTTCTGAAACGACATGCTAGAACAGCCTGTCATCATCTGAGAAACAGCATGGAAAACATAAGGCAGCTCCAGCCGGGCGTAGTGGCTCACACCTGTAATCCCAGCACTTCAGGAGGCCGAGGTGGGCAGATCACCTGAGGTTGGGAGTTGAGACCACCCTGACCAACATGGAGAAACCCCGTCTCTACTAAAAATAAAAAATTAACTGGATGTGGTGGCACATGCCTGTAATCCCAGCTACTCTGGAGGCTGAGGCAAGAGAATCACTTGAACCCGGGAGGCGGAGGTTGCGTTGAACCGAGATCGCGTTGCTGCACTGCAGCCTGGACAACGGGAGTGAAACTCCATCTCAAAACAACAAAAAGAAAAACATAAGGCAGCTCCTGTCACTCCTTGGTAGGGGGATGGGCTGTCAATGATCACTTCTGACTTTGCCCTTTAATGCTGCCACCTACAGGAACTCTTGACTATCCAGAGGTTTAAACGAAGACCAGGATGAACTCCTAGCATGTCTTCAGGTGAAATGACTGGAGCTTCACTTTCTTTAAAACCCAGGGCAGGCAAGATGCTCCAGGACTGGGGGATGCTCCGGGCGGCCTGGGAGCTGGGACTTGATGGGATCGGCTTCCTGGGTTTGCTGGTGGAGCGCCACCGTGTGCCCAGCTAAAAAAAGCTCAGATGGTAGTGCCCGTGGCTGAAGTGTTAAGCCAATTTCTTTCTTTTCCTTTTCTTTTCTTTTTTTTTTGAGACGGAGTCTAGCTCTGTCACCCAGGCTGGAGTGCAGTGGCCTGATCCCAGCTCACAGTAACCTCTCCGCCCCCTGGGTTCAAATGATTCTACTGCCTCAGCCTCTCCAGCAGCTGGGATCACAGGAGTGAGCCACCACAGCCAGCTAATTTTTTTTTCTGTATTTTTAGTAGACGGGGCTTCACCATGTTGACCAGGCTGGTCTCAAACTCCTGACCTCAGGTGATCTGCCGCCCGAGCCTCCCAAAGTGCTAGCAGTACAGGCGTGAGCCACCACGCCAGGTCAAAAGAGTGATATATTTAAAATGCTTCCACTTGTGAAATTATTTTCAACCCTATCCTCACCAGAAAAGAAAAGAAAAAAAAAAAAGGAAAGAAAACACTGTGCAGCCGGGCTTCTGTAAACGCGATGGCAGGAGGGATCAATTCCCAGAGAATGCCTGCCCTGCACCCAGAGACACCAGCTTGACATGTCCCTGTCCCGGTGGCCCACGAAAAAGCCTTGCACGGAGAACCCCTCACAAGCGCCCCTGACAATTAGACGCCCCTCACGGAGAGGCTCCCCTCACACGCAGGCTCCCCTCACACGCAGGCTCCCCTCACACGCAGGCTCCCCTCACACGCAGGCTCCCCTCACGGGCAGGCTCCCCTCACGGGCAGGCTCCCCTCACGGGCAGGCTCCCCTCACACGCAGGCTCCCCTCACACGCAGGCTCCCCTCACGGGCAGTCTCCCCTCACACGCAGGCTCCCCTCACGGGCAGGCTCCCCTCACACGCAGGCTCCCCTCACGGGCAGGCTCCCCTCACACGCAGGCTCCCCTCACACGCAGGCTCCCCTCACACGCAGGCTCCCCTCACACGCAGGCTCCCCTCACACGCAGGCTCCCCTCACGGGCAGGCTCCCCTCACGGGCAGGCTCCCCTCACACGCAGGCTCCCCTCACGGGCAGGCTCCCCTCACGGGCAGGCTCCCCTCACACGCAGGCTCCCCTCACGGGCAGGCTCCCCTCACACGCAGGCTCCCCTCACACGCAGGCTCCCCTCACGGGCAGGCTCCCCTCACACGCAGGCTCCCCTCACACGCAGGCTCCCCTCACGGGCAGGCTCCCCTCACACGCAGGCTCCCCTCACACGCAGGCTCCCCTCACGGGCAGGCTCCCCTCACACGCAGGCTCCCCTCACACGCAGGCTCCCCTCACGGGCAGGCTCCCCTCACACGCAGGCTCCCCTCACACGCAGGCTCCCCTCACACGCAGGCTCCCCTCACGGGCAGGCTCCCCTCACGGGCAGGCTCCCCTCACACGCAGGCTCCCCTCACACGCAGGCTCCCCTCACGGGCAGGCTCCCCTCACACGCAGGCTCCCCTCACACGCAGGCTCCCCTCACACGCAGGCTCCCCTCACGGGCAGGCTCCCCTCACACGCAGGCTCCCCTCACGGGCAGGCTCCCCTCACACGCAGGCTCCCCTCACACGCAGGCTCCCCTCACACGCAGGCTCCCCTCACGGGCAGCTCCCCTCACACGCAGGCTCCCCTCACACGCAGGCTCCCCTCACACGCAGGCTCCCCTCACGGGCAGGCTCCCCTCACACGCAGGCTCCCCTCACACGCAGGCTCCCCTCACACGCAGGCTCCCCTCACACGCAGGCTCCCCTCACACGCAGGCTCCCCTCACGGGCAGGCTCCCCTCACACGCAGGCTCCCCTCACGGGCAGGCTCCCCTCACACGCAGGCTCCCCTCACGGGCAGGCTCCCCTCACACGCAGGCTCCCCTCACACGCAGGCTCCCCTCACGGGCAGGCTCCCCTCACGGGCAGGCTCCCCTCACGGGCAGGCTCCCCTCACACGCAGGCTCCCCTCACGGGCAGGCTCCCCTCACACGCAGGCTCCCCTCACACGCAGGCTCCCCTCACACGCAGGCTCCCCTCACACGCAGGCTCCCCTCACGGGCAGGCTCCCCTCACACGCAGGCTCCCCTCACGGGCAGGCTCCCCTCACACGCAGGCTCCCCTCACACGCAGGCTCCCCTCACGGGCAGGCTCCCCTCACACGCAGGCTCCCCTCACACGCAGGCTCCCCTCACACGCAGGCTCCCCTCACACGCAGGCTCCCCTCACGGGCAGGCTCCCCTCACACGCAGGCTCCCCTCACGGGCAGGCTCCCCTCACACGCAGGCTCCCCTCACACGCAGGCTCCCCTCACACGCAGGCTCCCCTCACGCGCCGGCTCCCCTCACGCGCAGGCTCCCCTCACGGGCAGGCTCCCCTCACACGCAGGCTCCCCTCACGGGCAGGCTCCCCTCACACGCAGGCTCCCCTCACACGCAGGCTCCCCTCACACGCAGGCTCCCCTCACGCGCCGGCTCCCCTCACGCGCAGGCGTCCCTCGGACCGCCCCTCCGCCAGCGTCCTCAGACCTCTAGTGCAAGTCCCGGGAAGCGCTACTCAGAGAAGCGCGAGTAGGTGCCCCGAGTGGAGGGGTGGGTGCCTGAGAGGGGGTCCGTCCGGGCGCAGGGGTTCGGTGGGGCGCGCGAGAGACGGGTCTGGCGGGCGGCGTGGGTGGGGGCTCCCGGATGATGCAACCGCTCCGGCGCCGCCGCGCGCTCTGAGTGGCCAGCGCCTTGTGGCCGCGCCCGGATTTGCCAGCGCGGCGGGGGCGGGGGCGGTGTGTGGGTGCCGCGTGGCGAGCGCGGAGCTGAGGACTGGGGACCATCTGCGCGCGGTAGCTGGGCTGGGATCGGGCTCTGGGAATAGTGGGCGGCGGCCACCGGGTGGGTAGCGACGGTCGCCCAATTCCGAGAGGGGTGGGAACAAAGACCGGAGACCCCCCCGGGCGCCAGGCCCTCCCCGGACTTTCCCCCTCCAGTCACTTCCTCTGCGGAGCCTGGACCCCTTCAGTAGATGCAGGACCCTCGGCAGCTGCCCGGGGATCGCCGCTCTGTCCAGGGTCCCCGGAGCAGTTAACGGGTCGGGGCTACGGACAGCAAAGTGGAAAGTTAGACCAGCTGGGACCAAGGGAGGTGGGCACGCGGCTGTGGGAGGAACGGCCATGCTGGAACTACCCCCCCAACTTGCTCTGGATCCTGCCGGTCTCGTCCCGCAGCTGCCTCTGCAGAGCCGGTGTCAACTGTGGGGGCTTTGGG